CCAAATTAATTAAATTAAAAACGTCAAAGAATACCGCTTCATAGGCGTATCAATTAAAAATGTGTAGTAGAACTTATAATTGTAATTACAAGTTTCACTTGGTACCTACAATGAAAACCTGGTACGTTTTTACTTAAAATCACAAATTTCGAAATCCAGAATTCATCGCAGAAATCGGTTCAAAATCATACTTTTCACTTGTCGGAGTCAACATGAGCGGTGAAATGAACATTGTGACCAGGAATGTTCAGCTTTGGCGATTATTATCGGGGCCCTGGGCACAAATAACCACAACAGATGCGAAAGTGACGATGAACAACAAAATAAAGAGAGATAAATGCAGTGACGTAACTACAAATTTAGCCTCCCCACCCCGAAACTTTCAGCATAGTGCCAAATAGATAAGAATTTTCGCAGTAATTAAAACCTAAAACTTTTTTTGTGGAGATTCGCTCAAGTATTTTTTTTTAGAATTTTTAAATAAAAACTCTTAAAAAACAAGGTTTGGAGTGAGGGTAGCCATATGTGAGTAGTAGGGATTAAGTATAAGGGGTTAAAGAAAAGGTCCTTTATTTCTCACAAGTCAATTTTTAATTGGAGACCGGTTTCGATGTTGTCACTTCATCATCAGGCACACCTAAATGGAATGTCAAGGAGTCAGTTGTAATAAAAACAAATATAAAACTATGAACGGACATTAACATATACAAAATAATATATTGAAGTTATGTTTTTGTAACTCGTTTGATAAACTTTATGTAGCACTTCCTTTATGGAAATAGTCAAGGTCATTGTTTAATTTTCTTTTGTGTTATTTTGTATATGTTAATGTCCGTTCATACTGTTATAATTGTTTTTATTACAACTGACTCCTTTACATTCCATTTAGGTGTGCCTGATGATGAAGTGACAACTTCGAAACTGGTCGCCAATTAAAAATTAACTTGTGAGAAATAAAGGACCTTTTCTTTAACCCCTTATACTTAAATAACAAAGGGTTTGATGGTAATTCTATAAATATATAAAATTATCCCATATAAAGAACCCCTCAGATGTTCCGATTCTGCCCAAAATCTAATCAGTTCACCTCAGACCGGAATAAAGTTTAAAATTTAATATTTTTCTTTTTCCATTTTTGAGTTTTCTTTAATATTCGAAATTTACCCTTTTTCTCAAATATCTCGGATACGGTCCATTTTAGAGAAATGTACAGAATAAGAATTATAGAGAATGATATCACAAACAATTTTTATTTGAATAATTTTCTTAAAAATTATTTTTTTTTTCATTTTGTCAAATTTCTCTAATACGGATCATTTTAGGAAAACTTTGTATAGAGAAAAATAGAAGTAATTGTTATTTGAAGAATATTCTCTTCTCTAAACGTAAATATTCACCGCGATCGGGCCGTAAGGATGCCTCCCATGTTTGGAAAGCCAAATGTGAATCTGTAAGATCTTTTAACTTGGGGGATCCATCTTGTAGCCTAAGAGCCCACTGCAAATTTTTACCGTCATCTGATAACGAAATGAAATATACCCCAAAAGCATGGAAAAACATTGTATTTTACCAAATGGCACCTGTGCCAATCCCAATCCTGAGCAAAGTGGCTTAAAAAATTATTTTATATTAAAAAAATCACATAAAGGATGACAACGCTAATTTTGTTTGCCCTTAAAGTTTTCCAGAAAATAACATTCAAATATATCTTGATATGTATCGTTAAAGGAAAATATTTTCTTCCTCTTAACATCGCACAAAAACATCTATCCACGATTAGTAGGTAAAAATCATTAAAAATATGAATCAATGTTTGCTGATTTAAAAATTTATTTGTTGTGATTCATTTTTACAGGTTGCCATAGAAACGACAAAAAACTACTATGATTATGGTTTAAAATAATTGTCTAACAAGAGTTTATAATAATTATTATTGACTATCTCTGCAAATGGTTTATACAATGCCATCCTTCTTCCTTTCATACATAAACATGGTTTAAAAGGTAGGTAAAAATATTAATAATTTAGGTTTAAAAGCTAGGTTTACAATGAATTAGGATTGTAATTTTTAGGGAAAACACAATTGTCGCTGTCATGTCTTATGTGATTTTTTAAATATAAAATAATTTTTTTGAACCACTTTGCTCAGGATAGGGACTGGCACAGGTACAATTTGGTAAAGTACAATGTTGTTACATGCCTTTGGAGACTATTTCATTTCGTTATCAGATGACGGTCGAAATTTGCAGTGGGCTCTCATACTATTGTAAATACAATAGCAGTTTGTAAGAGGATTTATATAAATGTAATAAAATAGCAGGGCTGGTATATCTAAAGGCGGGTACAGATCTGAGCACGTACGCGTATGAGGCAAGCCGAACCGAATGCCTCGTGCGACGCATTTTGTATACACGAATAGTGGACGCACGAGGCGCTGTTCGCCACTGATCCAGTAAATTCGCGAGCACGCAACCATATACCCAGAACATTCGTAAAATGAAAACAAATATGAAGGATGAGGTTGACGTCGCGGAGTTAAGTGAATGTTTTGTTATTTTATCCTACACAATAAAGAAAAAAGAAGAGAAAGGAATCGATGCCAATTTCCTGCCAAGGATATTCTTGTTTTATGATGTAATAGAACTGGCGTTTTGCTCTCTTAAGATATAACGCTGATTATTTAAATCCAAGAGAAGCAAAACGTTTTTCTGGTTCCACTTCATGCAAAATAAATCCCAAAAACTCGCTATAATCTGTACAGTGCTGTATGGTACAAATTCCCCGTCCAGACTGAACACGTATTGCGCATTGCCTCCCTTTGATGTACCGCCAACAAACGGATCGGGGCGAGGCCGTACGAGGCAATTTACCGCGCCTCGGAAGCCCGTCCACATCTGCATGCTCATGTGTCCTCGGATTGCCTCATACGCGTACGTGCTCAGATCTGTACCCGCCTTAAGAGGGTCGCGACCACAAAGCACGTATCTTCTAGAGACCCCACGCCAATTGTAGACCAGGGGCTGGTAACTCAAATGGAAAAACATGAGGACGGTAATTTAGTACCACTCCAATTAACGGGATGGCGCTCGTATCGGAATGTCAGCTTGTCAACAAAACTTCAAAATCAGTGGTGTGCCTAGGGCTGTGCTTGAGTCGCCCCAGCAAAAACTACCTCTTTTATTTATATTTTTGTATTCAAGAAGGAGGAGAACATGTTGAACATTTACTAAATTAAATAGTTTATAAAATATGTATAATATTTGTCAAGTAATTATTTTTAATTGTTAATTGTTTAATTAAAAAAATAAGTTTTTTAATTACTATTAAATTTAATAAATACATTTCCAAACTGACGTGTATTTTTACCAGTGGCATTGTGAACCAAGGATGGCACACCATTTTTATGGCGGAAATCCAATATTATAAATACCCTTTTTACAAAAATATAAATAAAAGGTATTTTTGCAGGGGCGGCTCAAGCACATCCCTAGACATACCCCTGATTTTTATATGCATTTTTTGTACAATAACTCCTGACCTACTCTTAGTTTTGTTGATATGTTAGGTCCAGGACGGACGAATTGCTCTAGAGATTCAGTTAAAAAATTGTAAATAGCTCGTTAACTAAGAAAGATACAAAGTTCATTTTACTATAAAAAAATTTAAAAAATTCATAGTTCTTTTTGATTTTTAGATCGATAAAGCAAGTTTCATTATGACAAAAAAAATACGGGGGGTTAAAAGGTACTCAACCCCCCAACTTTTTTTAAAGGGGTCGCTTTAAATTTTTTTTCTCCTTAGAATATTGGGCCTTCAAATCTACATCACTGGCAAACATTTCAAAAAAAAATTCGCAACAGCAAACTTTTTACAAAAATAAAACGTTTTTTTGAATGTTAGTTTAACGCCCTGTAACTTTGTTAGGAGCCAGTTTTTGATATAGTTAAATATAGCCAAATCCACGTATTTTTTGGTAATCTATCTGTGGAAGAATTTATGACATACCTTTTTGAAACACCCTGTATAATAATGACATTTTTGTGTACATAAATATTAATGCTTGGCAACCGAGGTCGTCAAATAGGTAGGAGGAGTGCGCTTAAATCTTGTATCCCACTAAGCTGCCTCAAAAGGTAAGATTGATATATGTGGCATGTATGTGATATGTATTGATATAGAAACCCCCTGTATATCATTTTTTTTTTATTCTTAAAAGGGGTGGTTTGGCTCTAGAAATTTACAACAAAATATATTATTTATCAAATTTAATATTAAAAAAATTAAATTTTAAATTGCCTCTACCTGTCCGCTTGTCTCTGCCTGTCTGCTTGATTCTATCTCTGCTATTCTGTACCTATATCTGCTAATCTCTACCTGTGTTTGCTTCTTTCTTTAAATATTATTTCTAATTAAAATTCCTATGTACCTTTTATTTTATTTATTTCTTCTATCTGGTTTAACAATTCTCCAACTCTAACATCATTAATCTCTCTAATTTAATTTAACATAACATTCCAAAAATCCTCCCTCTGACAGTTTTTGTTCCCGCTGACAATCCAATTTCTATCTGACATTTTTTAAAATCAACAAAAATCCCGACATTTTGATTTTAATTTGAATTTTGATTTCAAGACACTTCACCACCCCAGTATTGCTCAATTTAAATAATACATTTAATGACGTCAGAAATGTCTATATCAGTATATTATAAGTTAAAAGTTAGTATATGTAGTGCTTCCAACGCACTACAGGACCACATGCAGTTTCTATTTGTAAATTACGTCAAATAGTATGATCCTCGCGGCTCAGAAACAACCCCGACAACGGCATCTGACTACTCGGCTTCCCGTACATGTTGGTGCCGGGCCGACCGAATGCTGACTATTTGTGGTTTACTGGGAACACTTTAATAATTGGTTACAGCAAACAGTAAATCTAATATACTGTCTTAAAATCTCCTAAGGTCGATTCTGTTATTTGTTTACTACCGTAATCGCTACATGAAGTCTAACGCTGGCCATATTGAAACACCGACTCGTATGTTTTCTATCGCAGTCTGACGCGTAGGGGATAATTTTCAGAACTTCTAGACTGCCCAGCTAGCACAAAAACATCTTATCTACGGTAATAAGCTGCAATTTTAGGCTCTAAGCTCGCATGTAGTGTACTTTTAATGTAACCCTAATATCACTTCTACCGCCGAATGTCCGCAACGGTAAGACTTTTATATCACATCTCAGAGATTTCAAAATAAAGTTCGGAAAACATCATACAAGCACTTTTACGGTTTACCCCGAAAGTTGCTCTGATCCGTTCTAATGTGAATTAGTTTTACATCATCATACAGTGTGTTAGGAATATCCTTAACAAAAATATCAGAATGACTAGACCGCTCCTGTAACATTTACTTAAGTATTTCTTCTACTTGTTAAACAAATTCGATTTAGGGCCAGTCTGAGTAAAGTTGAAAGTAACTACTTTCTGATTAAACTATAGGGCTATTGTTCGTTAATCTGTCAAGTAAACTTACATGTAACTTTACTCAGAGGTGAAAAGATCGGCCCTTACATTGATAAATTATGAAATATATATATATTTTTTTATTTAAAATAAATATGTTTACAAGTTGTAGCACGACCCCTGGTACTGGCCCTGTCTCCTGCTAGGAGCTTCCGTAAACTAATGCCTGCATAGTGCTGCCGTCTAGCTAATGACAGACAAGAGAATGAGATTAACCGAGATCCGAGATCGATTCTAATCGACAATACAAATAATTATTCATATTTCTGTTCCTATTCTTATTTCACACATTAATGTTTAATTCTCTTAATACGCGCAGTGTTTTCATATTCTACGTCCCCCGTTACAAAACTGGTACCCCAACGTTAGGCCGAACTTATCGAAAATCAAGACTTTCGCGAGTTCATATCGAAAACTGAACTTTTAAACGGGTATTTTGCGAAAATAGAACTATTTTGTGCAAATATCTGTTAGTGAAGCGATTGATTCTGCATTTGGTGAGTCTGATTCTCATACTTTGATTACTATACGGTGCAAGAGAGAGGTCCGACACGCCCAACATAGGGCGCGGCCATTTTGATTCCTATGCCACAGTTTAAAGCTAAAGAATCAGATCGCTCACTCTGCTATGGCACTTTTGATCTCAATGTTTCAGTTTATACAATAACAACCACCTATAATAAAACAGCATTCTTCTGCGTATCCTGAATTTGTATCCCTGGAGTGGATGTTATTTTGGAACTTTCAACTGGTCCGAGTGAGCTAACTGATTCTTTAGCAATAAACTGTGACTCCAAAAATAATATTCACTGACACTGACAGCAGCAAGCAAAATATCAGGTGCGTTTAAATCATCCGCTGCTGCTTCCGGAATTGTCTCGTTTAGAGTGAGATTACAGAACGTCTGCAACTTTGCAGATCTGCAAATTTGCAAATCTGCAAATATGGCGGACTTACAAATGCAAGTATTCCAAAAAATATCTGCAAATTCGCAATATTTATTGTGGTTTATTACCCCCAACAACCCTAAACCCAAATTTGGAATACGAAAACTCGATATTTGCATGTGTAAGTCAGTCATATTTGCAAATATTCAAAGTTGCCGCCATATTTGCAGATCTGCAAAGTTGCAGACGTTCTGTAATCTCACCCTTAGGGTGATTAAAATAAGAAAACCGACAATTTCGAAGCAGAAGCGGATGATTAAAACGCACCTATTAAAAATATTGCGCTAAGATGTAGGCAACACGTAATAAGTGATCAAAATGGCGGAGTTTTTTATCTCCTTTTAAAAGGCACTCAGAAAGCTGCGCAGTGCGACCATTCTCCGTATAGTAAAAGAAAATCAAAGTATGTGGTCTGATTCAATTTATTACCAGAATCTTTCAAACTTTATAGTTTTGGAAAACAATCAGTGTGTTAGATTTCATTAGCTGCGATATTTTTATCATTGTCCAGGGCAAATACCAAAGGACCTTTTGAATTGTCATTCTGTCAATCGTGGACTATCGCTCCGGAACTCCTATGTTGCCACGTTTCGAATTTTCAAAGCTAAATACAGTAATTGTGCGCCGCGCTGTTGCCGGACTGTCTAAAAATCTTAGTTTTACATATTTCGTAAATTTTACGCATAATGACTCCCAAAAAGTCTAAGGAGGTGCAAATATCGGTCCTAGTACTGTTACCATGTCGACGGATCTATTTTCGGTACAAAGTGCCATAGAAATTCAGCGTTCCTTGATATCGGCACCAATATAGACTTTACAGACTGTTCTTAAAACGGTGTTAAAATTATTATATACCGAAAAAATGGTTACATTTGATTGGGGAAATTTTAGGGTGTTCGTCGTTTTTATACTTTTATTAAAATAGAGTATCTTCCAACAAATAAGTCGCCTTAAATATTTTTGATGCTTAGAGCTACACACCCAGACAACACACCAAATCCCAGAGATATCCACAGAATATCTTTTGTGGATATCCAATATATTCATAGGATATCAAAAATATTCCGTAAATATAATATGGATATCCAAATGTCCGTCTATATCCAGAATATAGCAGATATTCTATGGATATCCAGCAAAAAATATAATGGGTATCTTTCAGAAAATACAAAAAATTCCAGAGATATCCACAGAATATATTTTGTGGATATCCAATATATCCAATATGGATACCCAACCAAATGTCCGTCTGTATCCCAGGATATAGAAGAATTCGGATATTCAGCAAAATATTTTATGGGTATCTTTAGTAGAGGTTCACAAGTAACCAATGATTATTGAATAACGTCGAAAGAAAATAGCAGAGATAAAAAATATTTTCAACACTCTGCCTTTGGTTTTGCCCACTAAGGAGAAAGTCATCCTTATTAAGACTCTTCAGCAATAAATGGAAATTCTCGACTCCAGTCTTCAATGGAGTCTGATTGTGATACAAATTTCGATCGAACTCAATTACAAGCATTCTTACGAAATATTAATATTATCATGTTTGTTCCCCAAACAGGAAACATTAATTTTTAAAGTCCATTTGGGAACATCGTCCCTGTTCCGGCTAATACACAACCTTCCTTCATAAGTAAAGCGAGACGATTTTCTACTATAAATTGCAAGAGACTATACATGCATATATTATTCACCTTGAATTTCAAAAATGTCGTAACCCAATTACAATGTGTGTTGCCTATGAAATAATAATTTTTTTTTTCTATTACAGAGGAATACTGCGACTATCAAGAAAATAACCAAAATCACACCAATCTTCCCTCTTCTATCACAGTGGAACTGATAGGACCTGTCAAACACGAATCCGTCATAATTTCCACTGAGGTAGCTAGAAATATGCTCCACGAATCAATCGAAATCGAAGAAAAATATCACCCTCCAGATCCAGAATCAATTGAAATCGAAGAAAAGTATCATCCTCCAGATGCGGAAATCTTTTCTGGAGTCCACTTCCTTTCCGACGAAAAGAACCTCAACTCAAAAACAGATTCTTCTTCGGACGACAGTGAAAATTATGAAAAAAAGAAAAACGAGTTACTAGAGTATTTAGTTCAGACAGATGGTAGCGTCATCTGCAAACGTTGCGGTGAAGTTCTCGCATCGAGGACTCACTGGTACCGACATAAATATAAAGTTCATGTGATACAAGCAAATAATAAGTTAGTAAGCCCTGCTCCTTTGTTTAAATGCCACCACTGTAATGTATTTTTTAAAAGTAGAAAAGGATATACAGGACATATCGCCTCTAGACACTCAGAGTCCCAAGAAGCAATTAAACTTGCAGTGACAGAAGTAATTGTAGAAACCTGTAATGAAATTCCCTCGTCTGTAAATAGGAGAAAATCGGAGAAAGTAGACAAGGTAGTGTGACATTATTTAGTACACTTAGCATATTTAATGTTGCCTTATTATTATTATTATTATTATTATTATTTGATGATGTTTATGTATTTTATTTAATTGTCATTTAGTTTATTAAAGCCTTGCTAAAGGTATTTTGTGTTTATTACAGGTAGACTGGGAGGAACAGAGAGTCAAAGAAGAAAAACTGGTTGCGGATATAATTAACAGGGTAAAGAAGGAATGTGAAGCTCAAGGGACAACTGTGACTAGAAGAGGTTACAACAGAAGATCGACTTCAATAATGAATACTGCTTAAGGTATTTTTTAACAAATGATACGTGCCAAATTTTTGAAAAGAGTATTTTTTATATGAGTAGATAATTGAGTTCCTACATTGTCTTGTCTGATTCTAAATACAAAAATTATTTTTATTGGTGTTAGTTCATACTCCAACTCGTCTGCTCAGAAAAAGCCTTGTTTGGATTTAATTTAAAAACTTGTTGACATTAATTTATTCAACTCATGACTAAAAGAAAACAAGACTAAATAACTTTTTGTCTAGTTTTTATTTAAAATATATTTCTTAGCAGTGGAAAACTTTATATTTTGAGGAAAATGCTCAAGTTTATATGGATGTATATTTTAAATCATTAGGTAGGTACTTCGAAGGTTGTGAATTATTATCTAAATAGATTTATATTTGAGGTAGAATTAATTTTTAAATACTCATTTGAACTAACCAATAAAAATAATTTAATGAGAGTACAGTTTTCTCTTTTAGATTAAGTGAATATGTAAAATGTTGATTACCTATTTAAAAAAAAGGTTATCTGTAATAATCTACGAATAAAATTGATAACGGCATATATTAATGTTTGGCTACTGAAAAATCATGATTTTGATACCATTTAGAAAATATTATTCATATTCAGATAATTTAGCTACTCCCCGCCATTTTGATATAGTAGAACCGCAATCGACATAATAAATCAATATTTTATGAGAGTTTTACAGCAAAGGTGGCTCAAACAAAATCTGTGATTTTAAGGAGACGGCAGTTGAAATAATCTATGCTCTTCGCTTTGTCTAGCAGTTTGACGATGAGGTATTTTGAATATGTGTCTTGAACGACCAAATACATTTATTCTCTACATAAAAAGGTCAGTTAATATGTGCTCCCATGGAAAATTTGGTAATTTTCGCAGATTCATTGGTTCAGTTTCTTGTTTCTGATTCTTAATATAGTCATGACAATTTTCTACGTGAGTAGATAAGCAAAGTTTGTACGGCGATATATATAGGGAATTCAATGTGTTAGAGAGAGAGGTCCCCTGCCATTGCCATAGCAATGCGATCGAGAGAGATAGATGTGTATATAATCTTACGTGACGTAGGTGGGTGACGTAGGTTAACGTTAAAGAGTAAAAATACGCGTAGTAGCAAAGCCAGAAGGGCCTAAATCCATATCTTCGTTGCTATTGGTCCGATTTACATGCAACAAACGGCGTTGTGGGGGAGAAGTGGCGTAGGTTAACGTTAAAGAGAAAAATCATGCGCAATAGCAAAGCCAGAAGGGCCTAAGTCCATATCTTCGTTGCTATTGGTCCGATTTACATGCAACAAACGGCGTTGTGGGGGAGAAGTGGCGTAGGTTAACGTTAAAGAGAAAAATCATGCGCAATAGCAACGCCAGAAGGGCCTAAGTCAATATCTTCGTTGTTATTGGTCCGATTTACATGCAGGACCTTTTAGCTGGAATCTTTTTGGTATATCATGTCCTGATGATAACTTATTGAAACAATTAAAAACCATGTTAGCAAAAGTAATATCTTTATATAATTAATAAAACATAAAATATAATATTTTTTTTTATTCTTGCTTAAAACACCTATTGTTGATATACGATCGTATATTATAATAAAAATATTTCAACTCAAACATATTTGTTAATTAAATATGATTACGCAAACTTGTTCTAAGTGATCTCGTGATACCACATCTATTTCTTTCGATCACATTACATTACTACGTTACATCATACGTCACTACGTCACGTCAATACTGCGCATGATTTTTCTCTTTAACGTTAACCTACGTCACTTCTCCCTCACAACGCCGTTTGTTGCATGTAAATCTGACCAATAACAACGAAGATATTGACTTAGGCCCTTCTGGCGTTGCTATTGCGCATGATTTTTCTCTTTAACGTTAACCTACGTCACTTCTCCCTCACAACGCCGTTTGTTGCATGTAAATCGGACCAATAACAACGAAGATATTGACTTAGGCCCTTCTGGCGTTGCTATTGCGCATGATTTTTCTCTTTAACGTTAACCTACGCCACTTCTCCCCCACAACGCCGTTTGTTGCATGTAAATCGGACCAATAGCAACGAAGATATGGATTTAGGCCCTTCTGGCTTTGCTACTACGCGTATTTTTACTCTTTAACGTTAACCTACGTCACCCACCTACGTCACGTAAGATTATATACACATCTATCTCTCTCGATCGCATTGCTATGGCAATGGCAGGGGACCTCTCTCTCTAACACATTGAATTCCCTATATATATCGCCGTACAAACTTTGCTTATCTACTTACGTGGTCTTCTACAAATATGTTAATTTTGGGAGACCATATAGATTTTCTTGCTCTTTTTTTGCAGCCTACGATTCCCTGATGTCCAATATGTAATTTGTCTAGCATTTATCTATACATCGGGGTAGGAATTATATATTTGTCTTTGTAATACAGTACGTTATGATATAGGGTAATTTCTGACATTATTTCTTTACTTTTTCTTTATCGGGCTATCCTGTCTTAGTATATTCTATAAAAGTCACTAGTTCTTCATACTGAAGTTGTTTTATTTTATTTTTTGTTGTGTATAAATTATTTTCTAACTCGACATAGATGTTGTTTATGTGACATCAATGTCGGCCATTCCTACATTCAAGGGTCTTCTACTCAGGGCATATGGTACGTAAAATGTTTCTCTAGCGACATGATCAATTTGGTAATCAAACCTTGGAAGTCTGAGGTGAAATCTTTGTAGTCCTATTGTTAAGTCATTAATGGCTTTCTTTTTTAAAATTGTAAGCAGTGGTAAATGATCGGTTTGTATGGTAAACTTTTTACCGATTAAGAATAAAAAAGGTCTCAATTCAGTAGCAAAACTTCATAATATATGCTGATATTAAAGAAACCTAACGTAACTACTTTAAGAATAATTGTTTGTTAAACTTATCCCATTTCTGTAATACATTTTAGTATTTATATATTTTTATAAAGCAATATAAAAATTAAATATGAGGTTATACACAGTGTATCCGCAGTCGTTGATGTGAGGATTTATGCCAGTAATTTAAAATTCAAACCAAGATTATTCCATTTTTTGCCAATGGCCATTTTGTTTTAATAATTTTAAATACTCAAAATGAAAAGAAACACTAATAAAAAATTATTGCAAGTTCACTTAAGGTCAGTCACTATTAATGCCGCTATTCTTTTGACATCTGAGCATGCGCAGATTATTTATATTCTAAAACCGACTAATAAAGATTGTACCTGTCCTTAATTAGGCAATCCAAATCACGCGACTTTAAATGGTGGACTCTTGGTAGAAACAACAAAAGTATGTACTTCCCTTGACAAAAACACATCTAGTGATGTCATTAGTCTAAGTTTGTATTATTTTTTTTTGAGTTTTAAGAATTTTTTTCGATGTGTTTATTTGAAAAACGCCATAATTTAATATTTATTTTGAATATATGAATATTAATTGTATGATTTTTAATAACAGTCAAATACTAATGAAAAAGTCAGGTTAAGCAACTTTGTTGTTTTTACCAAGCATCGGCCATTTTGTACATTTTGACAGGACGTTGGATTGCCTAATTGTAGATGTTTAAGAGCAGCAAATACTAGTGACTTTACATTTTCGGGTGCGCTTGCCAAGATTCGTATTAAATATTTTATATCATCGTCATTTAAACCTTCTAAAATGGTAATTTTTAATGCCTCTTCCATTTGAAATTTTTAAAATGAGGTTAGAAATAAGTATAAGGTCAAGGACTCTAATTTCAAAATTTCAGATTTGTAATAAGTCTTATTTTAGCATGAAATTTATTTGCCTCTAATTACGTTGTCACTATTAGTGGCTGATTTTATAGAAATTTGCAATAACTCTCTATTGTAATAGAGTACATATTATGCCTTTATTTATAACCTTTTAGTATTCAACCTATTGTGATTGTAAGAAATTGCTTTGAAAAACTTACGTTATTAATTTGTTCAATAACTATGTGCCAATTTTTTTTGCTCAATGAATTGAAATCTTTAGTGATAAACTAGTGATTAGGAATTTGCTATTTATTATGTTATGTATTGTGTGGTGATATTGTATTTATGAAGAAAGTGGTAGATAATATTTGTTTTCCAACTTTCATCTAAATTACAATCTATTAAAATTCTTCATAAATTCAACAATGTATACTTTCGGTGTGTTACTGTATTATCTACTTCGTTATTTATATGTGTATTCAAATATTTTCTTGTTACACTTTGTGCATTTATCATTGTGCCAAATTTACTGATAAAATTTTTAATATCCAACTATTTCAAATTGATAAAAGTATTTTTATTATTAACTAGAATAGGCGTATCCCTTTTACTGTTATCATTTACTAACTAATCCACTTTTCAAGAACTAATTAAAATTTTAATCAATAAACATCCCATACAAGAGTAAATTCTATATGAAAAATCGTTTTATCAAATTTTCCCGCCACGATTAGCGGTTGTAAAAATATGATGAAATTAATTTTTGATTTTCCCGGGATAATTCGATCATGTCATATAGAGAAAGTAAAAGTTGAAAAGTCTTTTGGTAGGTAGAGAGGGGGTAAACGTCAAACCACGTCGGGCGGCTCCGAGAATTTCGCAGTAATGTTTACTTACCAGTGTCGTTTCATAGAATAAGTAATATTTAAATTGTTATTGGCGGAACCGGACAATCGCATGTATTTATGGATTATAAATAATTATTAAACATGTATTATAATATTCAAATCATAATTTTACAAATTTTCAACAGCTATTCACAATTTATTAAACTATTTACTCGAAATTGTTATTAACATCTATAAAATAATTTTGTACGCCAATGTATCGCGTCCACTTCGGTGAGATCCGCTGGCAACCTGTCAATTTATGTATATAAAGTGGGAGAACTGGCAAAAGCATTTCCAACTTTTACTTCTGTTCTAAGTGATACATACAAAAGAAACTTTTGATACACCTCGATAGCCGTCATATAGAAAACAAAAGATTAATTTTTTGAAGAAAGGATGCCTTTTTTGTAACGATATTATGAATTTGAAATTGTGAGAGGAGATGGTTAGATCTACGTTTGGCCTAGCAGAAACTTTGACCTTCAAAACAAATTCAATGAATAGATTAGAATTTTTTAAGACATGGATAT